AAACTTTAAGGACTAAATTGTGAGAGGCAAAATTCAAGGACTAATTTACAATTGAATCAAAATTTTAGAGACTGAGCTATAACGAATCAAAATTAAAGGACTGAGTTACAATTAAGTCAAAATCATAAGGATTAAATGATTAATTTTTCCTAAATTAAAATAGAGGGACTGAATTTTAACTAAGACAAAATTACATGATCAAATAATTCCTTCTCCCTTCATTTTTTTAATAACAAAGTGGCCTTTGTTTTATTTCAAAGGCCATTGGATATTTGTGTGTGATTGTACATGTATGTAGTCCTTCCGTTTAAAGATACAAGACATTTTCAACTAAATTTGACCTCTAATAAATAGTTACTTATTTTCAAATTAACTTTATCTTTTTATATTTATTTTTATTTAATACGATGTTTTACCCTAAAATAAATAAAAATAATTTATTCAATAAGGGTACTTTTACATAAAAAATAATAATTATACTTTGAAAGATTAAAAATATCTTACATTTTTAAACATCCAACTCCTTAAAAAATATCTTACATTTTTTAATGAAAAGAATATATATTTAAACCATTTGATTTAAGAAAGATGGTTTTCAACTGAATGCTAGTTTACGGTTCAGGTGGTAAATTAATTCTAGCGAACTTGCAGCTTGCCTGAAGGACCTAAAACATATATAAAAGGAGTTATAAAATGTTTGATAAAAATATATAAATTAAAATGTCAAGAACAATTAATTAAAGTTTTTTAACCCAACTTCTTCATTTAAAAAGAAAAAAACAAATTCATTAAGAGTCACCCTCCCTTTCATTTCTTTCCAATCAAGCATGCCTTTTAAGACAATGCCACCTTTTATTTCTTAAGGAGAATGATGATAAAATACCTCGAAATATCCAAATGATAGATTAGTACCGCAGCATGTGATAATTTTACGGGTCGGTTTGGCGTTTTGGTATTTTGGAAAATGACCTATTTGCCCCCTCTTCACTGTGATTCACCCTTCTCTCATGAGCTCTTTGATCTGCTTTGGAGTCGCCATAGAAACAAACACAAACAAAAAAACATGAATTTAACATTCAGATATTTCCTGTATTGCCAGAAAAATCCATTGGCGGTGCAAACGCTCTTGCAAGCCACGGCCTGACAACTAGAAGACCCAAGAGACTGGAAGAGGAGAGGAAAGTGCTTGCAACTGTGGGTCATCGTTAAAATCTAAAATTGAGGTGCTGGCCTTTAAGACCTCGATCGATCTTGGCCTACCAATCTCTACTTTCAATATTTTGGGGCTTGTAATATTAATATGTGATCTGATATTGAATTCCTTATCGGCTTTCATCTGCCTCTATCTTCTTCTCTTTGGCAAATCTATTTTTGATGCAACTATAGCTCGTTCCTACTTTGCTGGAGCAGGAGTTATATTCCTCCTCATCTTCTTTGTTATGTATTCTTGGCAATGTCTATGCTCGAGATTGGTTCTGCCATGTCATCGATCCATTCGAGATTTCGAATGGAAGGCTCAACCTTCATACTTGTTCATGTTGATTTGGATCTGATGGTATATAATAACTCGAGAAAATTTCTAGACAATAATTTGTGTTTTCTATGTGTTTGTTTTAACTGCAAAACTATAAAGCAAATCAGATACCTTTGGAGAAGAGGGTGAATCATAATGAAGAGAGGGGCAAATATGTCATTTTTCAAAAAATAAATTGCCAAATAAGTTCTTAGGAACTAACACATAACTATTACATTTCACGATACATGTTTATTACTTGGATATTTCAGGAGTATTTTATTATAATTCTCCCCAATTTTTTTATATTTTAAAACTTTTTACAAATTTAAAACTCGTTCGAGATAAAATTTATATAAATATATATATATCTTTAAGTTATCAACAAAACGTTCTTTCATTTTTTTTCATTCTAATTCCTCTAACTGACTATAATTCTTTTGATATCGGAAACTTTTCAAGTATCACTAAGATTGAATTGTATTGGATATGGTACGGGAGGCGAAGTTTATATAGCTAATAAATAACAAAACTAGCAAGATTAAAATGAAAGAAATATAGAATTTTATATTCATAAGTTTAAGCTGATATAGGAAATTGATGTATCAATTTTAATAAAAGTACAACGAAATCCTTGAAAAAATAAGGGTAAATATAATTTTTGATTTCTATACTTTACTTGCATTTTACTTTTAGTCTCTATATTTTTTTTCAGTATTTTAAATCCCTACGCTTTCGTTTTATATTTTTTTAGTCCTTTTAAGATTCCTATACTTTGCTCATATAAAGACTGAAAAGAATAAAAAATAAAAGTGTAAGAATTTAAAATACTAAAAAAAAAGTATAAGGACTAAAAGCAAAACATAAATAAAATATAAGGATCAAAAGTTATGTTGATCCAAAATATAATCACGCATTAAATGTATTTTTCTTCCTCCTTCAATATACGTGGTCTTTGAATCCAAACGCTTGAGTCACACTCACATCAACAATAGACTAAATGGCAAGTTAATTTTTTTTCTTCAAAATTAAAATTTTAGTATTCAATGATCCATGTCTTCAAAAAAAGTGAACACTTGCGTTAATTAATTAATTCATTAAAATAATTAAAACAATCTTAATGGCACTATCTACTATTATTCACTCCTTTTTTCAAAATGCAGAGACTTGTTATTAGTCAATTAAACCTAATTTAATTTTATTCATGATTTCATTGTTACCTATTTAAAAAAAATCCATCTTTTGGTTTGTTTTGGCTTTAGGGTACCAAAATGGGGAGGAAAAAAATAATTATTTAATTTTTCAACTTTTAACTTGATAACTTTTAACTTAATTTCTTAAGTTTGAACCTTTTAAAAAGTTTATCTTTACCATAAATAGGCTAGAGTACATCGTGCTTGGATGTCACTAACAGCAATAAGACTGTTAATTTTTGGTCATGTGGCATCCAAATCAGCACACTCTTGCTTACTCGGCAACTGATTAAAAAGTCAACAGATAAAAAATAAAAAACCCAAAGGTCGAGATCAATGAAACCAAGAAGAAGCGACTGAATCAAGAACGACGCCTCCAAGTTTTTTAATGAAATAATTGATGCAATGTTCTGATGCCTTCAATTTGTTTCTATCCTTGCATTAGTTTTTTTTTCCCCATATTTGTGAAATAATTATTAAAGCTTGCTTTGCTTTTCATGTTTTTTTTAGTTGGATTCCTTCCATTAATTGCTGAATAGGCAACCACAAAATGAAAATTTTTTAAGTATCTCATTATTTTTAATCTGTTCAATAAAAATATAATATTTAAATGACATTAAATATAAATTAATTTTGATATTAATGATAGTAGAAAGAAAAAGATAAGAAATTAAATGTACATTTTTTTAGACGAATAAATTTACATTAAGTTGAGCATTTTAATTGAATAAACTTCAAATGACATGACACTCCTGCTCTACCAAACCTAAGTATTTCCCCACAAAACAATATTTAAAACCCTTAAACAATGAAAAGGCATAAAATCAACTTCATAGTCATGATCTTATTTGGAATAGGCTCGTCATGTCTTATCTGAAGTAAAGGCACGGTTTGAACTGCTGCTCCTTCCAACAACCAATTGGCAGAGTATAGAACACAAAAGAGAAAGATGAAGAGAGAACCAACATAAGCTACAATTTTTCAAACAAAAAACAAAATTATCGGTCAAACAAAATCCCCAAACATTGAAACCTTCATGGGTGCTCCAAGACCCCCTAACCCCAACCCTCTTGTGCATATGTGTGCGGGCGAACGCGCCAATGTTGTTTCTGCGTCTTATAGTTGTTTCATTCACTCCATTACACCTTATATATTATACGCCATCTTTTTCCCGTCTTCATTAGCTATTGGGGCATCTGGTAAATTCTCGACAGCTTAATCAAGTTTCAGTAAAAAAAGGAGGAGGAAGAAACACCTTTTCTAGCTTCTAAGGATTAATCATATATTGTTGTTGTTAGTTTCAGCGTGAATCCTGTGGCAACAAAAATGGGGAAATCGAGGGATGCTCCCATATTCCTATGCTGCTTTTCCGGATGGATCCAAGGCCTTGGAATCCAAATCTTGGAAGAAGCAAATTTTGGGTGTGTTTTTTGGGTTCTTACTTGTAGCTTTCCTCGTCGCCTTTCAATGTTACAAGGCCTCCTATAATGCTCATCCTCTCGATTCCACATTGCCCAAATCTCCCACCACATCGGCATGACCATGCGTTCTCCATTAAAGCTGTCACTTGTGATCCAGCTTCTTAGTTGCTTCTTTGTTTCTTGGCTTTATTGATCTCGACCTTTTGAGTTTTTCTTATTTGGTTTTTTATTTAGGTCAAAGGGTAAAAATATCCTATAACTTTTTATCCAGAAACATTTGATATTTTAAATTTTTGTGAAGCATTCTTATTTTAGAAATTTCAAAAAGAGAGCATTTATCCTACCATCAACTAACCATTTGTTGACCATTAATTTAACTTTAATTGCCACATGGCATTTAAAAAAAAAAAAAACACTACACTTGGCTCATCCTCTCTCTCTCTCTCCCCTTTTATTTTTTTTCCCCTTCGTCTTGCCCCTCAATGATGTTAAGAACTCTTTAGCCGCGGTACTCCCTCTTTTCTTCTTGTCGTGGCTAGTCTTCTTCTCTGATCATCTAAGTCTGATCCACAATAACCCCCAACATGTTTCTCCTTCTAACATTACAATGGAAAGCTGCACATCCTTGAGCAATTGTTCACCAAAAGAAGAAGAAAGAAATGGAACAATTATACTAAATTATTTCAGTTCACAATTTAGCTACTCTAACGCCTGTAATTCTTCACACAAACCAGACAGAACCATATCGATTTAAAGAGCATAAAAACTCAAAAAGAAGAATGACAAGAGCTTGCATGAAAAGAATTTGAAGAGAAGATAAAGAAACAGAAAACCAAAACACACAGCAAAATGAAAGATGTTCGAAACTAGGGGTTACCAAAAGTTCAAACTCATCAAAAGATATTGATGACAAAGGTGAAAGGGATAGAGAGTGATTGAATCCCGCAAAACCAGATTATAAAGAAATTAAAATAATTAGAGATCAAGAAACCATCCTTGGAAAGACCCTCAAGCTCAACCATGGAAAGGTTCTCCATCTTCACCACTGTTGGGGTTCCTCAATGGCCCTTTAGAATGCGAGATTGGCGACGACTCAACATGGAGAGGACAACGACGTCAATGGTGGCACTGGCTCGAAATGAAGTGGACGGTACGGCCTTTGTTCGGCGACGGTGTCAATCGAAAGCTGGACGTCAGAGATCGAAACCTTTACGGTAGAAACCTAGGCGACCTGATCTAACTATGCTATAGCGGATATGAGAACTTGAAGCGTTTGGTATCCTGGAACTCCATCACTGCCTCAGCTTCTAGCTCTTCTTTTGACTTCAAGTGTTTAGGCATAGACAAGATCAACAGTAGGAGTGAAATGTTGGGTACGCTCACTCGTCGATTTCATGGTCAGGTTATAATCTCTAGTGATTGAGAAAGAGGAGAAGAATCAATAGATGGAGATGAGGAGACGATTGAGGAATAAGAGACCTAGAGAACACCTGGATAACCTACATGGCGATCCACACAAGAGGGGAAAAAAATGACAGGTGGCAATTTCTGAGGTTAAAGTTGAAATTAAATTATCAACATTCCTAATATTTAATGGTGGGTGAAAATGTTCTTTTTTTTTCAACTTTAAAAAAAGCTCTTAAAAAAAAATTAGAGTGCCAGACATCATTGAAGCAAAAATTTTAAAACATTTTTACCCTTTAATCTTTTTTATTTTGCCAAGTAAATATGAGATTGTGACATATTTGGATATCATATAAGTAACAATTAACAAAGTTAACCCTACCAGTGATATCTAAATATGGTTTACTCTAATCCACCAACAATAAAGATAAACTTTTCAAACGAACTAAACTCAAAAGATTAAATCACAATGAATTAATTTTGAGAGACTAAGTAATGATTGAGTTAGAAATTGAAAGATTAAATAATTAATTTTTTTTTTAAGAAAGCTATTCCAACATTCCCTTCTGGAAAACAACGAAAGAGGGTGAAGGGAAAACGGATCCTAGATCATAAATTACAAGTCTAAGACCTGTTAGTTGGTACAAGCCTTCATTTCAAGGACTCACAGGTGAAGATAGCAGTAACGGCAGGAACCCTAGTGAGCTTTTCGCTTTCTTCCTACAAAGACAAAAAACAACTTCGTGGATTTACACAAACAACTTCCACCAACGGTAAGAAAAGATCGTTAATCATGCCATTTACAGAGTGTGAAATACCATCAAACTATAGAACGACAAGCTACACATCATTCAAGAATAAGAGGCAAAAAATAAAAAAGAAAGAGAGTTTTGAATGAAGAGATGTTATCAGTAATAATTTTCTTCATTTAAAGTGCCATCATCGAAGTTAAGACAATAGCTATGATGATCATAACTGTACTGTACATGAGGGCTTCTTCTTTGCCATCCCAAAGCTTTATTCCATCGACCCTTCAACTTACACACCATCTGTCTCAGAAAGCTTGATCCTGGACAACAGCAAAGTGGGGCCCTTTCTTGGACACTACCAAGTGTCTCGGAGGAGGAGCAAGCCACCATCTTCTTCTGAAACCTCAACAAGTGTGTTCTGTGAAAACTGGAAAACCTTAACTTTTTCATTGTGTTTGAGATCTGAGAGCTATGTATCCAGTGACGAGAGAGAACTGGAACTAATGTTGGTACAGAAAATGTAGCTTCATCATAAGGAGCGTGATCGGAGGGAAGAGTGAAAGTGAAGATTTAAAGTGGCCGCCCACTATAAAGAGCAGGCAAGGAATGTCTGTCTGATGTCACTTTCTGATTTGTGGAAAATAAGAAACATTATCACGAATAGTTTCATCATACTAAGAATAGTGCATTTCCACGCCATCGATGACCCCGACATGGAGCGTATGGAAATGAGCAATGTGATGATATTAGTTCACTGTTTTTGATGACCCCAACATGCAGCGCATGGAAAAGAGCTATGTAATAACATTAGTTCACTGTTGTCAAATCTATTTTTTTATGGCACTGGGTAGGATTCAAATAGGGAATACTATATGTAATCACATCACATACATAATCTTCTTTATGGAAGTCTAAAGTTGTGTCTTCCATTTTTGTGATTGTCTTTTATTTATAACTCAAAAATTTAGGGAACTTTCCATGATGCTTCGACGAAGGAGTACTAGAATGAGGCCGCCCGACATAAAAGTTACACGCTGTCCACACCTAAAAATAAAGAAAGTGACCAGTTTCCGTGAATTCAGTAGCTAGCTAGCTTTTCTCCTTGGCAAGTTTGACAGCAATATACGTGTACGATGAAGCCTCCAAATGGATTTAAGGTTAAAATAAAGGGCAGATCTTGTCATGCTGACACCCACCAAAAGTTACTTAAGGAAAAGAGAAAATTGCAATTAGGACCCTCAAAAAAACATATTTGCAAGTAAGAGCCAAATAATTTTGACATGACTTTCCAGCTCAAGAGCCTTATTTGCTATTAAGTTCATTGTTGAAATGACCTAATTACCTTGGCATTTTCTTCTCTCTCTTCTTCGTCGCTCTCTCTTCTCTCTGTTCCTCTTCCAACAAGCGATGGATGGTACAGATAATATACAAAAAGTCTCGTGCTTTCAGAGACTCTTCAAAGCCTCCAGATTTGGAGTTTGGTTAATGGCGGAATCTGCTTCTTCTTTGGTGATAAATTTAAGCGAAATTAGGTGGAGAAGATGAAATCCCATAGGAAGATTTCAACGCTTTGATTGGTTGAAGGCTTTGGTATTTCCATCACTTCTCTTTTTGTTTTTTTTCATCATTTCATGGAATATTAAGGTGCACCCAAATCCATGTTAGTGGAAGGGAGTCGTTCGTGACACCACCAACTCTTGTAATCAAACTTCTGCTATCTGAGAATTCTGTCTCTTCTTCCTAATTTTTAACTCTTCTTTGCCAAATTGAAATTTTGCAGCATCTTGATCTTTTGGTAATATCCTTAGATTATTCTCCTTGCTCGTTGTTCTAATTTGTTTATAAATATCTTCACTGATCATGGATTGTGTGTCTAAACTGATGCTTCATTGTAAATAAATTGATTTTGATTGTTGTTTATGAATTTTTTTATTATAAATTTTATATGGGTTACTTGTGAATTTTTTCTTGTAAATTTCAAGTTGGATATAGTTATGTTGACATTATGTATATATAAAACATGAAATTTGATACAAAATTTCATCTTAAATTCTTAGCACTTGTTTAGAAGAATCAACACCATTATAAAATTATCCAAATCTAATATACATACATACATACATACATACATATAATATATATATATATATATATCTTTATGTTAATTCAATGAAAGCAAGTTATTATTTATAAATTTTTTATTATAAAATTTTTATTGTTTATGCAGCACAAATGATCAAATGTCAATGCCACATGAACCTAATAAATGAATATTTCATTGAAAATAATTAGACTTTGATTGTTATTTATAAGCCTTCTGCTGTAAATTTTATCTAAATAACTTGTAAAAAATACGTCATAATAATTGTCTTATAATTTACATTTCACAACAGTGATAAGTTTAGGTTGATATGTTTACAAGTAAAAATTAATATATTCACAAGTCAAAATTTAAAATTAATAAATCCATGTGTTGGCAAAGTTTAAAAATTAACAAGAAAATGTTTGAATGTTGACAAGTATATGTTTAAATATTCACAAATCAATATTCATAATTTACATTTCACCCAACTATTAAATCAGATGAAATCAAAAAATGAATACTTACTTGTTAATATATGAATTTGAGATTGTCAATATCTAAATCTCTAATTGTAAAAATGTGATATGTTAACAAGTAAACATTTAAATATTGACAACTACACATCCAAATATTCATAAATAAAAATTCATATATTCACATGCCAAGGTTCAAAATTGAGATGTCAATGTGTCAACAAAGTTCAAAAATTAACAAATAAATGTTTGAATAATATTGACAATCAGATGTTCAAACATTGACAAATCAATGTTTATAGTTTACATTTTACATTGTACACTATTGTTAAATCACATGAAGTCAGAAGATAAACAATTACTTATTAATACTTGAACTTAAAGTTGTCAATATTTGAACCTCTACTTGTCACTCTATGAATATTGACTTATAAATATATGAACTTTTATTTGTGAGTATTTAAACACGTACTTGTTAATATTCAAATGTTTATTTGTTAATTTTTGAACTTTAGCAATGCATGAACTTGTCAACTTTAAACATTGACTTGTGAGTATGTGAACTTTTACTTATAAACATTTGAACTTGTACTTGTTAATATACAAGCATTTGTTTATTAATTTTTGAACTTTGTCTACACCAGTGATTAAAAAATCAAATCAGTTCAATTATCGATCAGTGTGAATTTTGACTCGATTAATAAGTAAAAACCATTTTAAATGTTGAACCAAGTTGAACCGTTTTAGACCAACAATCAAATTGGGAATCGAATCTAGTTTTCAAAAAGCTGGACTGTTCAAAAATTTTTTTTTATTTTTTATCAAAATGTTTTTAGAAAATGATCAATTTTTTGATCATTTGATAGTATATTATATCATGTGACTTGTTAAGTCATGATAAATTTAAAATATTTAATTTTATTTGTAAGTTAAGTATTAATTTCGTATTTATTTTTTATATTTATATTATTATATACACATATAATTTTTTAATTTAATTATTATATCACCAGTTTGATTATTGATCCAACCCAATTGAATCATATGAATCATGAATCACTGACCTTTTCGATTCAATATCCGGTCTGATTCTAAAAACATTGATTTATACATGAATGACTTTTTACTTGTGAATAGATAAACATATACTTATTAATATTTATATGTTTACCTATTAATTTTTGAACTTTACCAGCTCACGAATTTGTCAACTTTAAACTTTGACTTGATCAATATATGAACTTTTACTCAAAAATATTTGAACTTGGACTCGTCAGAATGATAATGAGAATTATGGTTGTGGACTCTATTTCTCCCAATGATTCTTCTCCTATCGACAGGTAGGGAATTCCTTTTCCCTCTTGCATTCCTTTTCATGCTCATTAGTTTGTTATTGTTCATATCTGAATTGAAGATTCAATGTGTTATGCCACGAGAGAAGGAGAAAACAAGAGAAATCATGAAAATTCCAAAGCCTTCAACCAATCAAAGCATCGAAATTCAATGTGTTATGCCACGAGAGAAGGAGAAAACAAGAGAAATCACGAAAATTCCAAAGCCTTCAACCAATCAAAGCATCGAAATCTTTTCATGAGATTTCATTGTCTCCGCCTGATTTCGCTTAAATGTGTCACCTCAAGCAAAAGCTAATGCCTCCATTAACCAAACCCCAAATCTGGAGGCTTTCACGAGTCTCTAAAAGCGAGAGACTTTTTTTGTATATCATCGGTCTCCCACCACCACGCGCCGGAAGAGGAAGATAGAAAAGGGAGAGCGAAAAAGAAGAGAGAGAGAGAAAAAAATGTTGGGGGGCAATTAGGACATTTCATCAATGAACTTAATTGCAATTATCATAATCATTTGAACCTTTTCTGGAAATATTTCCATTCTGAGGGTCCTAAGTGCAAATCTCCCTAAAAAAAATTTGGTGGAAGCTTATCCATGTTGGGAAGATCCGAAATGGAAAAAGGGATTGTAACATCATGCTGCTTCCATATATACGTATTCACAAAATATAACAACATATACCTAACTTGATAAATGGTAGAAGTACTTTTTGATAATGACTGGATAAAAAGTGGGGAGCCATTCAAGTGGATTGATGAGTCAAGTGCAACATGCATGTATATGACTGAGATGTTTTCAACAAGTAACAGTCGACAGAGGTAAAGCCACACAGAGAAGAAACTTTGAAAAAGAGAAGACCTTTTCACGAGCATAATCACAACTACAGGCAAAATATCAGGGCAAGCACAGAAATGTTTATAGCACGTCTTATATAACAAGTTTGCTAGGTGGTTAAAGAAGGAGACACCACATTATCCACATGATCAAAGCCCAGGATGTGTAAAACCTATTGCATGGCACCATCATCATCACACACACACTAAATTAAAACCAACATTACCCAACCAGTCACCAAAAATAGAAAATGATGTGAGGGTGAACGAAGAAACTGACTCCTACAGTGCAGCATGGTGCTATGCTAAGATGCTATTGCCAAGTTATTATCTGATGTGATCTTGCTGGTAGATTTTGATTCCACAAAACAAGGCAGGGTTGTGCTGCGGGAAAATTACTAGTTCAGTTACAGACAAACGTAATCACTTGGCAGTTTAATTCAAGAACATAAATAATCAAATACAATTTCTATTCACTTTTAATATTTTTCACTGAGAGCAAAACAATGTTACGGCTATTATATTCTATTCTCAGCACAGCCTTCCCAAATACCATCATATACTTTTAAAAAAAATCATCAAATATCAAACATTTTTCACTTTTAATTCAACTCAATGTTAGATGTGCGGCTAATTTAATTTTTGTCCCTTCCAATACTTGACGGCGATATCGGAGAAATTGTGACCCAAAAGATAGTAATAGAAAATCCTTAAAATTCAGAAGACCAAAGCCAAAACGAGATTTTTTATGACCAATAGACGGTTTGAACACCATCCATGAGCCGAGATGCCCTAGCTTCCAATTTATTTGCGAATTACCGAAATTATTTGGGGCATATAAAATTAAATAAATAAAAGACAGTCACTGCCCACGAAAACCGGTCGATCAGCCATTCAGCCTGAAATGACATACCCAAAAACAACTCCTTAGCTGCCAATTAACTTCTTAGAAACACGATATTCAAAAAAATAGCAACGGAACAAAATAAACTAATTCACTGGCGTATAATTAAAAGTAAACAAAACCACGCAAATAACTTCAAAATTCTACAAGAAAATACATGTTAAGCCAATTCCCTAACTCAGACAATTGCATTGGCGGCACTTGCAATCCTAGGCCATAAATCAGCACACTCCTTGCCAATTGGACCAGTAATTGCGGAGCCTACATTAACAATTTGAACATCTAGTTAAGATCAACCAAAGCGCAAATGATAGAAGATAGAATCATTGACATCATATGGCAGCTAAAATACCTTCACTGATGGATTTGTTACACACACACACACACACATTAAAAGAAACGTCATGTTGATCAAATAGTTGAGAACTTAACTATAACGAGAAATTACCTTTCATCTCACCCTTGGGATTAACAATGACACCCGCATTATCTGCATAATGTAAAACTAAGTCACGAGTTGTTCACTAATTTGATTAAAAAATAACTAAGAAAATAAAAACAAGAACTACAACCCACGTCAAACATGAACAATAATAATGGGTCAACAAATGTGACAACCATTATACTTCCCATACACATCCATGTTATACCCTTAAATTCCAACTTCCGAACCAAATATAGACAAAAAGACCCATACAAATTACTTAACAAATACTTTCACATATTCTGACTTTCATTTTGAAAAATCTAACTGCCCAATCCCATTTCAGCACAAAAAACAGAATGACATGTACCAGGAGACAGGTAACACAATGCAAGAAATAAACATCATGTTGTTTAAAACTGGCATTTTCTTTTACATATGCTTCTAATTGTGGATGACCAACTAGTGGGCTGGAGTGGCCACTCAACATTTAGGAGAAGCAACATGTGATGACTCGTATGCTTTCATGAACACAGCAAAGCTAAACAAACTTTCTACAAGAACACAAAAGCTCAATCGTAATTCAATAAACAATAAAAAATAAATTATAAAAATTGCCGAAATAAAGGGCGTACAGAGCAAAATTCAACGAAGCATAACCATATATAATATCTGAAGAAAAATGCAGAGTTGCAGACAAACAGAAATTGCATTTAATAATCAAGAGTGAGGGAATAACCTTCAAAGTACATATAAACGCCGTCCTTTCTGCGCCATGGCTTGCGCTGGCGAACAATGACAGCTGGCAGGACCTTCTTCCTAAGATCAGGCTTTCCTTTCTTCACGGTGGCCATGACCATGTCACCAACGCAAGCAGACGGCAAACGGTTGAGGCGACCTTTGATCCCCTTCACCGAAATAATGTAGAGGTTCTTAGCTCCAGTATTGTCAGCGCAGTTCACTGTCGCCGCCACCGGAAGACCCAGTGACATCCGGAACTTGTTCCCGGCCGTTCCACCGCGACCTGATCAAACCAAGCGAACCGTCAGAACAAAGAAATCACCAATCTCAGAATCTAACCTTAACAGAACAATCGGCAATACCTCTCTTCGACATCGTTGCTTGCTGAAGCTCTCGCCCTCGGCCACTCCCTCACCCAAGAAACAAAGAAAATAAATTTATACAATCAATCTGGCGACTCTTTCTCCTTGTTGGATAACTAGGGTTTACACTTCAGAGCGTAAATTGGACCTAGGCTCAGGAAATAAATGACAGTGGGCCAATTTTTTAAAATTCTAGCCCAGTATTAGTAGGACAGATTCGGGTCGGTTACCACAAAATTGACAAAAATACCCTTTTCTCTCACAATGATGCCTGCTTTCCTTTTGGTCTAGCTCGCTCACAGAATGCTCGCCGGCAATTGCCTTCTCCCTCATCACCTGGTCATCCCTCCGGTGACCACCGTTCATGGCGGTTGCTACCATCCTTCCAAACGAAAGCCCACGCGATTCCATTCTAACAGGCTCCGGCTTGTGATGTCGCTCAACCAAACCCCGCAGCGTTCAAATTCAACTTCGTCCATAGTGAATTCACTTACGAAGCTCCTGTGGGGCCAATCTCTCCCACCAGGTCTCCTCATCGCCACCGTTCGTACGGCATGGAACTCCACGTGGCAGCTCATGATGTCCCAGCTGGCTCCTTCCGATCCCTCCGGTGGCTATTCAAGACCCCCTTCCAAGTTCGGAGCCTCCCGACTCTCCGTCTCGAGCCAAACCCGCCTCCATCTCTACGTCGGCCTACCCTGCCCCTGGGCCCACCGAACCCTCATAGTCCGAGCCTTGAAGGGCTTGGAGGAGGCGGTGCCAGTTTCTGTTGCTTCACCAGGGCTGGACGGATCATGGGAATTCAAACACATCCGTGTTGGGGAAAAGGATAAGCTTAACCCCACTTTGGATAAGGCGAATGGGTGCAAGAGGTTGAAGGAAGTTTATATGCTGAGAAGCGGTGGTTATGATGGAAGATCCACGGTGCCAATGCTATGGGATACTGTTAAAAAGGACGTCATATGCAATGAGAGCTATGATATTATTGAATTATTCAATTCCGAGCTGAATGGGTTGGCTTGCAATCCAAATTTGGATCTTTCGCCCCCTGAACTGAAGGGAAGGATTAAGGAATGGTATGAGATGATATATCCGAATGTGAACAACGGGGTATACAGGTAACTCTGAGAGAGCAAGCCGTGTGAAAGTGTTTAGCTTCATGTGATGTGACAAGCATGACGATGGTGATTGCATTTGCAGGTGTGGGTTTGCGCAGAGCCAGGAGGCATATGATAGAGCAGTGAAGGACTTGTTTCATACGCTGGACATGTTGGAAGATCACTTGGGCGGGTCGCGATACTTGTGTGGAGACGGACTTACACTTGTGGATGTATGCCTGTTTACTACTCTGATTCGATTCGATCTTGTGTATAACGGAATTTTCAAATGCACCAAGAGGAAGCTCCTCGAGTATCCTAACCTGCACGCCTATATGCGTGACATTTATCAGGTACGTGAACATCCTTTTTCTCCGCATTCTGTCAAACGGTAATCTAGTCAGACTGTTGGAATATATCTTATTTCTTGAATGAATGCTCATGGCATGCGCAGATTCCAAAGGTGGCAGAAACCTGCAATTTTACTGAAATAATGGATGGTTATTACAAAATCCTTTTCCCACTCAATCCAGGGTGCATTACACCAATCATGCCATCGGGTTATGATCCTCAAGTCCTTGGCAGACCTCACGGCAGAGAATCATTGTCATCCGCTGCGCCAGTATTTGTCAAATAGAAATCACGTCTTTAACATAGGATGTCATTGTACAGTATGCCTTTACCTGATCCTTGCTCGTGCGCTTATCATCTCCGCTTGCTCGACTTTGATCTCTGAAGCTGGCATCGTTAATCTATACACATCCTTTGATTAAAAATGGCATGCATGAACAACAAAACATCTTGTGTACTTAGAATTGCATTGATTAGGGTAATGTTCCTCTGAGAGAGAAAAAAAAAAAACAAAGGCGGCAATGTTCCTCAACTGTTTTATGCACCCCGCGAAGAAATTGCCAAAAGGATCTTCTTAATATCAGGTCTACCACATGTAATTAGGCACAAACAAGGAATAACAGAACAACCCTCCACTGTGAAACCAGCCCCTACTGGATGCTGCGGTAACAAAACGACGACACACTACTGCCTAATTATTTGCCGCGCAAAGATAGATTCTTTTTCGGGGGAAAAAAAACACTGTACAATGCAATTGCTTCCGAACTCCAACATCAACAGAGAAACAAACCCAATTAATCAAATTGGGTCTCGTTCCTATTCGCGGTGGGCAAGAGTGTGGCGTCAATATTAGTTTAGGGGCACAGTTATCATGCAATCGACGCAGATCTATTGGATCCTGCAATATGAAGAGCAAAAATGAATAAGTACCGCCATACTTGCATCAAGTCATGAAAGCGAACATCACAATCAATAGAAGCATCCATGGGCTTATCCATTACTTGTGAGTACCATAACCATTGAGACCAACTAATATGGTAAACATATTTACAGTAGAAAAGCCTAACTAATTCTTCCATCCGCATTCAAAGCCCAGTATCGTGATGCGAGTAGCAACAAACGTAGTCCTGTAAGATTGGCAAGTTTTTACTTTTTAACTTAGGATTGCAACTGAACCAATTCAATCCATAGATCAAGACCATCCTCAACATCTGAATCCTCAATGTAGCTAAGCCTGGTCAATATTTTTAAGGTCGTGTGATATTGTGATCTGGAACCCTTCCAAGAAACTAAGTCAAGGAGCAAAGCTAAACTCTCAAGGTGGTAGAAAGTTCAAGGTTAACGCGAAATGGAAATCGACAATTTCCTTAGAAGGGGCCAGTAAAGCTATGCTAAAAAGCGGGAAAAAATTACTTACTATTTGATCGCTTCATCTTCCTGCAGAATTTGCTGCCACATCTGCAAGAGAAAGGCTTGACAGGACCCTCATTGTCATCAAAGTCAATGCCATAATCCTGCAGACACCCGAGTCCATGTTGTTTTTAAGAGAACGGGTTATAAACCAGGATTAATTAGAAAATAGGAAGAGTCACTAAAGTTTATCAACCACAAAACTACTGGGTAGCAACATTGCCTGCTGTTGAACTTGAGGAACCAAATGGAATTTTCCATGAAAAATAACCGAACGTATGTTTAAGCCTAAAACTTTATTTCACACGTGATTTATTCAACATATCTCAACCCTGTCACCTGTTGCCATCTATGTTCTACTGGACAATTGAGAGGGGAAGAGATGTAACAGCACCATATAATACTGAAGTAATCAACATGGCTATGTGAAACTCACCAAACACCATGCTATAAAACCAAGACTACTTACCCAAGTTAGCTCTTCCAGTGCAGCCACTTTCCTGGATGTGAAGAAGGCAAGCTGTACAATTGACAAAAGTAAAAGCATCACCAGGCAAAAATGATCTATAGGCTGTCATTGCAACAAAGCTGACACAGATGAAACATCCAGGGTTTAATTTCTTACATGAAAGTAGCGATGGTCTGAGGTTTCAACTTCAACTGGGATCTCAATCAAATTTGCATCCAAACATCTGGATAGATGAAATCAATTTATTATTTAATAAAAAAAGGCGCCATAGTTTGTGGAATCACTCTATCACAGGATGATCATCGCCTTAGAGCACAAAGAAAGAAAGAACCTTAGTCTTCTCATGATGTTTGGGTAAGTAATCTTTCAATCCATTAATAACCAAATAATTTCTTTCCAAATTTTGTTCATCTTCAATTATGAAAAGAGGCATCTCGTTTCCTAAAAATAGGTAGTATAACTAGAAGCACCTAGTGTTATTTGTTTAAAACAATGTAAAACTTTTATGACATTTTATGAGCATGAAGGAAATTACTGTATATATTTGAATCATCCTATTCAGAATAGCATAATTAATGAAAGAGAAGAATGGAACTACAATGCAAGCTAAAAGCACATGCATCACACCATAAGGAGCAAATTCTCACAAAAGGAACAGTAATATACACATCCTTACAAGCAATTAGAATTAGAATTTCAATACCTGTGGTTTATAAACCTGGCAATATTCCCATAAGATGCTGAATCCAAGCAAAGAGCTTCTTTATCATTTACAACTCCTGAATCCCAACCTGCATCTAATAGAACTGGGTATGTGTACGTTTCATTTTGGGCACATTGCATGTTCCTCTCATGCAACTCTTTGATGGTTAATATTTCTCCCACAAACTCACACACAAATGCACCTTTTGGAAGCTCCTCTAAGGTACGAAGACCCCATCCTTTTCTTTCTGAAGTAAAAAACACCTAAAATGCAAAAGATTGAGAGAAAGGATGTATTAGATCAAATGTTTTAAGAACAAACGATCAATTAATTTCATGCCAAAGTAGAACAAAATGACCAGAAGCATTATTTTGCAAAGAAAAAACAGCAATTAAATCAGCACTTGTGTAAGATTACTTAAGCCCCCACCTGCAATTTGAATGTGATTCCTCGTTGGACAACCCTATTGCCACACTGTTTCACACAACCACATTTTACCCAACATTCTTTGATAAACTTTCTCTTTAAGTGTCCTTTACATGGTTCTAAACAATCATCGTTCTTTGCTCTTTCAAGGGGGCAGATTTTACAATAGGACTGATGTTGTTGAGGATTGCGGCTAATGGTAATACACTCTTCCAAGAATTTTTCATTCAGTAGCCCTTCAGATGTGTAAGCATATCCACCCCCAATTTTATTTGCACAAACACAAGATGTTGGGGACAGAAGACAATCGCCCAAACAAGTTGAACAGTAATCCTCACATTTGATGTTTGAAAGACACCAGTTAACATAGGCATCTTTGAAACCAACGCTTTGGTGCAGATAGTGAAAAGGTGGAGGGAAATCATTCGTTATTTCATTCACCCATGGAATTCTTAGATTTTCTTCTCCTTTTGAAAGGTCATCAGCACCATGAAGAGACCTTAGATCATCGGGAGTAAGCTGATGCTGTTGAATAACCACCAAACTGCCTGAATGTGGTGATATAGGATCCTCCAGCCCCTTTCCACCATCACACTCTGGAAAATCACTTCTGACCTTCTTGGTGACTAGTACAGCATCATTCGTACCACTCAAAAGCGGGGAAGAAGGGGAAATGCAAGATGCAGCAAGTGCAGAAGAAGACTGAATGTTGATTGATCCATTTGACATGCCAGAATGCAATCCTAAATCTTCTGTATTGCCTCTGATAATCAGAGCATCACATGCCTTAGATTCCTTCAACACATTTAGACTTGATGGCATCATTTCAGATCCTTCCTGTGAGTCATCATTTGAATCAGTTCTGAATTCCAGCACGCAGTCACACATATCTCTCAAAAGTTTCATGATAGAAAAATTTGGGTCAGTGATATTATATGATTGCAGACATTTATCCTCCATCATTTTTAAAAGCCGATCTCGACAAGGCAAACGAAAATCTGATCTCCCAAGTGCTGAACTGCAGCTCATAGTAATTTTTACCTCTCCTGACGTTGAGGAGGCTATCTCAATGGTAGAAGATTCTTGGTTTGTTGCAACCTCATGGTTCACTTCATTTGATGAATCTCGAATACCTTTCCCTCTACCTTCATCTCGGCATTTTGATATTAAAGGACCATTCTTGTCTTGTTTTCTAGTTGCATCATGCCGCATTGGAGGATCTCTTCCACCAGGCAGTTCTTGTGAGGGAGAACAGATCAAAAACCAAACTTGTTAAAAAACCATCATCATAAGTTGATGGTAAGTTGACAGCCAAAAATCAGAAGGAAAAAAGAATGGTGTTGAAGAATTTTGGTTCAATATTAAAAGCTAAAGGCCACTAAGGTCCACAACCAAATTTCAATCCACATGCAAGTGCAAAAGGAAGCCTACAATGACCCGCCACCATCCCTCAAATGAAATCAAAGCAACATGAATTTTGCTTCCAATTCAAAGGAAAAAAAAATATACTCAAAGGTTCCAGTCAACTAAAATTGTTTCATGGTTAAATCAAATAATGCAAATCTGCTTATCTCTTCTTTTAAGTGCTGAAAGAATCAAACCTCTTTCCTTTACTTAAATAAAAGTGTGTTCCAATCCGGTCTAAATCCTTAACAGAACAAATTCATTTAGCCATGTTTCAAACTCTCAGTTAAATGGTTGCATTCCCAATGAATGCAAATATGATAAAATTCACCAGATTAAGTAAAAGTAAAAACTACCTTAGAGAAGCCATGCTATTAAAAATAAATGGCTCCAGAAATCAAGAAAATTCACATCAGGGAAAAACCAGTAAAATACCAGGATGAATTGCTGCACTGGGAGCATCATAATCTACCAGTTCATCAACAGGCTCATCTTTAGGCTTGATTAATGCAAGAGTATAGGGCAACTGGTTTTTCTGTAATGGCACAATTCTCTGTTCAGCTGGAGGTTCCTTAAATGATACAGACGGAGATGCTTTTTCAGATCGAAGTCTTCTTCCCCCAGGAGCAGTTTGAGGTGATAAAGGTTGCTTTCCCTTGTCAACACTACTATCTCGCACTGGAACAGGGCGAATGCCAGTCTCTGCATTTCTATTGGAACAACTATCAGGCAATTCATCTTCTACTTTAGGCATTTTAGATGGGGAGGCAGCTGAGCTGGTTCCACAAATACTCAGAGGATGAGAAGCCTGATTCTCTTGGCCTCTTAAACGCAGCCTCTTCAAAGGTCGCACCGGTTCATCCTGCATTTGAGCTTCTTCATCCTCCATTTCTCCTTCCTGTTTGTTTGACAAGCGAGCACATTCAACAGCTATAGATGATAGATCAAGAAAGTGATGCAAATAAACTATGCCAAGCAAAAGATGGGGAGTGTCACATACATCATTGTTCTGGTTTTTTGTCCTCTTTCCCTGCAACTATAAAACAATATCAATTATCAAGCTGCATATTAGAGCATGTAGAAGAGACCAAAGAAACAAAAAAACATTGCATTCAACAGATAACATGGAATATTCACCTCTTTTTCCTCCTGCTCAAATATAGCATCTGCAAGAACTCTATAGTTCTCTTGTTCAATAAGTTCCCAGTTCTTGTCATACAGTTTAAGAAGTTGCTTCAATACTGGTTTCACTTTTACTTCCTTAATGCCAAGAACAGTCATTGCACGATAGGCTGCTGCAACTCTTGGATTGGGTGCCATTTGTTTCACAAATGTGAACCCTAGAAAAATAATTCGCAGATTCCTGAAATGGGAAATCCAATATGACTCTTTGGTATTTTGCTATCGCGCAAGACCATTTTTCTGGTAATAAGTTTCAAACTTACACCAGAACATAGGAAAGACAAAATAATCAAATCCTTGACTATCAAATCACTGTAAACCAAAAAGAAAATACAAACTAAAAAAAATGGACCGCAAAAACAGCAAAGAAACTTAGTGGGATAAAAAATATGCCCATTCAAATTTTTAAATCCAAATGTCCAACATCTTATTCTACTGATTCCTCTCAAAACAATGTCTGCAGACATGCATGAACTTTGTCAATTTTTGTAATCAGGTAAAAACATAGTTGAAACAGATAGTTATTCAAGGCTTTGGCAAAACTATCAAGTGAACTTCGGTATTATTTGACAATATAACTGACGTTAAGTTTCAAGTTCAGAAGTGAGTGAAACCTGCCTTACAAGTTACGATAGGCATGTATTTATAGTCACATCAGTTACACACTTCAACTACTCTGTCTCAGTCCTTCATTGGATGAACAAACTTGGGACTGATGGCATGCTCACAAGAGGAGGTGCACAAGAAACCTGCTACACCAAGTATAGCTTCACTGTTGAGATGTACTGCAAGAAAGACATCTGGAAACATTACAAGGAAACCGTATCAACTGTTAGTCAGCAAGCTATGTATAGCATTTGCTTGCCACGGCAATCGATACTGAGTTTCCCTTTCTAAGGCCACAGGAATATTGCAACTATAAAACATAGATTTCTTCCAAAAATTTCAGCATGAAGGGAATAACAAAGACTTCGTCGATTAGAATATAGGGGAATACTAGAGTTGAACCTGATATGTTTACTAAACTTGACAGAAGTATAGAATAACTGCTCATTTTTATTACTTACGTCGGTAATAGAAATGAGCCACTAAATTTTAAATTATAAAAACGCAGATGAGACATGAGTTCCCGCCAATTAAAAATAAAATAAAAGTATATTATTCAAATCTTATAGAAGTTGTTTTGTTTTATTCTCTCACGTGAATTTCCCATTTTATATGTTATTTCTAACGTAAATTTTCTACTCTACTCAATTTTCCTCGCTTTCCTCCATTCATTCATTTCATCACACCACTCTTTCTTTCTTTAATTATAAGATTAAATACACACCTGCTAATTTCAAGAAAATGTTTGTCTAATTATGACATTGCTTGGGGTGGATTTTTTTTTTTAATACAAGGCCACGAATGGACCGTGCAGCTTGGGTTGGATTTTGAATTTATCAACTTGCAAAGATTTATTAGCATTGTAAACGCAACTCCTTTTCATTTGCATGTATGACTAACTCATGATCTTTATACCATTTTACATTTAGAGTGATTTATAATGCAACGACATTCCTGAATCAGTTGGTCAATGCTTGAGGGGCTAAAAGGTGACCAAGATAAATTCTCACGTGCTTGGATTATTATTTCACTCAACCATGTTCAAACCATGACTTTAGTTGAATTAGAAACAACTTATGTGAGCTTTTGTCTAAGCTTTTTGCTTGCGACTTCTGGTTTGTGAAAATTCCTATTTCACAAATACTAATCCAAACACATAAATTATTGGGATTACAAGGGACCCTACACCTTGCCAACTCCAAGAAGCAGTACCAAGTTCCTCAGTAGTTGCAAGAAAGTCGTTGAAGCTCATTTGTAAAAATATTTATGGGAACATTTAGAATTGAAGCTATACCTTCAAATATTTCATATTTCCATTCCCCAACACATTTCACTGCCCCTGTTCACCAATCATCGAACCAATTAGTGTTGTAGTATACTAATATTTGGATGTCTGCTTGTGATCCTTTGAATCGTCTTTGTCATCTTGTCATTGTCACAAATCTATGCATGAGATTCCATCAAAGTTCTAATTCCTTGGCCTTCTTTACCTTTAAACCATCAATCATAGGGTCGTGGTATTGCATCTTCAAATGAAGCTCACCAATATGTTAGCTAGTATCGTATAATTGGATTTTATTTGGCTCTATCATGATTTTTTTTTGATTGCATCCACCCAATTATCCAAACACAAAAAGTCATTACTTTCTCGACTTAATTTAACTCTACCAGGTCATCTAAGTCACAATAATTCACCTCTTCACAAGAATCTCTTAACATGATATAATTTAAGTGTTGGAATATTATTTATGAATTAGCATTAATTAATAAGCCCAATAGATTGGTCTTTATGATTTTGTGTAGACCATGATAGGTAGACCACACAAGTGAGTCCAATGGACAAAGGCTCAACCCACAACCTAATAGACGTCAGTTATTCCCTATCTATTAATTGACTGAATTAGAGATAATGTGATATAATTATTAATTATATAATAAGGCGGTTACCAATCTGATCTATATAAGCCGATCAGTCGATAACCGCAAAAATGACTCATTTCTCCACTTCCATTATCTTTGAACTCTCTGAAGGCTCTGGGGACCAGTAGGTTGTGTACTTGCCTACACTCGAGGTAATCGAGCTTTCTCAGGCGCTCATGAATTTTTCAGATATGCATACATTAATTTACTTGTTTATATGAATTGAGATACGAATATAACACGTGGCATCAGAGTCAGACTTGTGAATATTAACTTATATATCTCAATTCCTTACCTCATGTACATATATTTCATTAGTCTCTCTTTTCTTCCTTTATCTTTGCCTTGACCGACGCCGGAGATGAAGAGGTCACTGTAAGAAAACACTGGTTCTCACTGATGGTTATGCGTTCATTATGCTATTACTTAAGACGGGCTATTGGTGCGCCGTAAGGATTCTATTTTTTTTAAGTCACCAGAAACAAAGATTCAGTTTGGTTTGCACCATGAAAGAGTAGAAGCTGACGTCACCACCGTTCACGGCATCGCCGTTGTGGGTCTGCTTCGACGTCGTCTGGAGCTGACGGCGCGGTGGAGGTTCTGCAATGGGTGACCATCACCGCCATTCCGGCAACCACTGCATGCCGACCTCCTCTTTGGTCTGCATTTCGGTTTGGCTATTGAAAGGACCTGAAAACGGGTCAGGAACCGAATCTTAGGGATTTGGTTCCATAGGTTCTGGGCCCATTGGGGGGAGGAGGATGGCCAACAACGTTTCACTTAAACATATTGGGCCTTAATCACAGCCCAGTAGCATTAATATTAAAAAAAAGAGGGGTTTCTTTTAATTACGTTTTGATCCAAGATAGAATTACCTCCTTCGGCCAAAATTCTAAAATTTCCTCCATGACCCCAATAAATTTCTTGAAATTATATTTTGGTCTCTCAACTTCCAGAATTGCAATTTTTGACCCAAATCTCTTCCAGAATACTTGTTTGTCCCTGATTACCTTTTAAAATTTCACTTAAGTTTTAAATTTATTCCCTAATTCCCAAAAGATTCTAAGGAGTTTAAAATTATTTATTTTATCCTAAGATCATAAAATTTATGACTTTGTAAAATGCTTAGAATCTTGTAGCATTAATAATGGACATACCCATAGGTGTGATATTATTAATGTAATTTTGATGGTGGCTTTGAGGATAGGCTAATAGTACTCCTTTAATGTGTTAGATATTTGTTGTACCCTATAGGTATAGAATATTTAATGCATTATTTTGTATGAACTTTTATATGAGCTAAATTTTTTATAGTATGTAAGCCTTCTTGGTGTATGATTATAGTTACATAATTGATAATCGCTTATTGGGGAATTTTTATTTTATAATTATGTTGTGCATGCATAATTAATATTTCCCATTTTTTATTTTGCGATTTTAGTTTATGCTTTTACGCAACTATCCTTTGTGAAGGCTCTCAATGGGACTAATTATGATGACTGAAAAGAGTCCTCGAATATGTATCTGACCATTTCTGAAAAAGATTTAGCTATGAGAGAACCCAAGCCTGTGGATCTCTCTTCCAAGTCCAGTGCTTCTGAAATGGCCTTTCATAAACAATGGAGTGAGTCCAACCGGATCTGTCGTGATTATCAAGTACATAATTGAAAAGGGAATTAGGGACAGCATTCCTGAAAAGGATACTGCAGTGGAGTACTTGAAAGCTATTGGTAACAAATACAAGAAGCTTGACAAGACTCAAAAAAACTACTATCTGTCACTTATTGACAATATTCAATATGACGGAGTTTCTAGTGTCAAGGAGCACATTCTGAAGCTTGTTCATTACTATAACAAGCTTAAGTCATATAGGATTGATTGGGTGATAGTACTTTAGTTTATCGTGTTCTTCAATCACTGTCATCAGAGTACGTATTCTTGAAGACTTCATACAACTCACAAGAAGCTGAATGGTCTATTGACCAGATGATATCGATAGTCACTCAAGAATGGTAAGCTATAAAGAAGAATTCCTCTTACTCAATAACTATGTTTCTCATGGCTTTAATAGCAAATCTGGAGGGTCATATAAAAAAAGGGGAAGAAGCATAATGCCCCAAAGCCTAATAATCCAACCTTTAAGAAGGATGGTGATAAGAGTGAGAAATCAAGGAAAAAATCCTTTAAGGGGTTATGCAATTGTTGAAAGAAACTGGGTCACATTAAAGCTAATTGCTTCAAACTGAAGAACAAACAAGAAAGTGAAGATACAGTTCTTCAAACTGCCCCTCTAGCTCTAGTTTGTTTTAAATCTAACACCATTGAAACTTTCTTTGACTCATAGTGGCTGGATTCTGGTGCCACTGTACATGTTGTGAATTCTCTACAGGGGCTAAGAAACCAGAAGGTTCTAAGTGAGGCACAGAAGTTAGTCTTTGGCATAGCAGGGAGCAAGGCATCAGTTGAATATATTGGAATTGTTTCGTTGTATTTAAATTATGGTCATGTTTTACATTTGAACAATGTTGTTTATGTACCTTCTGCGAAGAGGAATTTAATTTCAACTTCTGCATTGGATATTTGTGGCTATTTATTCTTCCAAGAAAATGGGAAAATTGACATTTGTTTTGATTCCATTAATGTTAGTTGTGCTTCCTTGATATATGTTTATATTGATTGAATGATTGGTCACTTGAACTTCCTAATCTTCATATCAATGCTGCTATTGGGCATAAACATCAAAGGCCCAATGATAATTCCTTTATGCTATGGTATCGTCATTTAGGTCATATCTCTAGAGAGAGATTGAAGCACATGACCAAGCAAGGTGTCTTACAAGACCTTGATTTCTAAACTTTTGAGACTTGTGTTGATTGCATAAAGGGAAAATTCCTTACTAGAGCTAGAAACAAAGGGGTAAAGAGGTCTGAAAACACTTTAGATCTAATCCATACTGATATTTGTGGGCCTATCACACCTCCGGCTACGGGTGATTTCAGATATTTCATTACCTTCACAGATAATTTCAGATATTTCATCACCTTCACAAATGATTACTCTCATCATGGATGGATTGAACTCTTGCGTGAAAAGGGTGAGTCCCTTAATACATTCAAGACCTTTAAAGCAGCAGTCAAATTAAAATCTGGTAAGTTGATCAATGTGTGAGATTTGATAGAGGAGGAGAATTTTATGGGAGGTATACTGAGACTGGCAGGAACCCTGGGCTATTTGCTTTGTACCTTCAAAAGCATGGCATTGAAGCTTAGTATACTATGCCTGGCACCCCACAGCAAAATGGGGTTGCAAAAAGGTGAAATCATACTCTCATGGATATGGTTAAAAGCATGATCAGTCACTCCTCACTGCCAGAATTCTTATGGGGTGATGCACTTAAAACTGCTGTTTATATTTTGAATCAAGTTCCTA